AGTGGCGTCAGTGATAGAACTACCATTACTGAAGAATTAAAGAGGAAACGCCGAAATTACCCCATCGCCGAAAAACAGTCATGCTCAACACCAAATTACCTACCAACTTTTAAATTTCTTTTCAAAATGACTGTTAGGAATTTAAATTTTAATTAAGATTTCTTTAACTTAACTACCAAACTAAGCAGAGGCTACTGTCAGTAGGAGGCGGTGATTTGTGTCAACCGGCGTGATAGAGAATTGTGGACATGCTTGACAAAGAGCTCTTCGTCAACACGTACCAAGAAGCAGTTTAGCGCTGGATCATCATGGTAGAATGAAACTGTGTAGTAATTTTTAGGATTTACCCAAAAGTATCAGAGTTGGACAAACTCCAATCAACATTTATAGTAAACTGCGTTTTGAATAGTTTCATTTGTTACAATGCCATCGCGATGAACATTATAACAATCTATGCAATCGCAAAAACATCTGCGCTGCCGAAAAACTTAAAAACATTGCTACTGAGTGTTGCTGTATCTGATGTTGGTGTTGGTTTGATAGTGGAACCATTCTTTATTTCATTATATATCAAATGGTTACGGCTTCAAAAACCAGACTGTACCTTCTACTTGGGACGCCATGTCGTTATAAGTTTGTTTTTAATAACTTCGTTCTTGAATGTCGTAGCTTTAAATGTGGAAAGACTCCTGGCAATTCAACTTCATCTTAGATACCAAGCACTTGTGACTCACAAGCGGGTTGTCGGAGTGATCATTTCAATATGGAATTTTGCTTCCTTTGCATCCTTTGCTTTGTTCCTCTTTCCTTTTGCTGTACTCTCGATAATAGTGTCAGTTATTGGAGCCATTTGCCTCCTGGTCACTACAGCAATATATTGTAAGATTTATCATACGACACGACGACACAAAAGACAAATTCGAGTCCAGCAAGCACGAGAACTAGAGGTACGATCCAAACAAATAAGTGAAATGAGAAATTTGGCAAGAATCATGAAAACTGCTGTGGGTGTGTTAAACGTTTACTTTGCGTTTATAGTTTGTTATTTCCCACGCTTCATAGTTTTGGCTGCCCGTGCAATTAATGGTCCCAATATCGTTATAACTAATTTTCAAATTTACACATATACACTGATGTTCTTCAACTCACCACTAAACCCTTTTATTTACTGCTGGAGCGTGGGACATATTCGACACGCCATAATGGACACATTTCGAAAATTATACACCAATCGTGTGTTTTGATTCTGGACCCTGAAAACTAGAGTCCTACATCAGGCAGCGATGTTTATTTCGCAATCCGCCGTCTTCTTTTGAGCGAAAACCGATTTTCATTTGGACTTTTTCCGTTCAGTTGAACTTGAAACTCGATTGTAGGTTCCCTCCAACTCGAAAGCTTTCCTATTTTGGGATCTTTTCTATTCAGGATCGTATTACAAATCGGGACTCCATCCGATTCTAGCCTCCTTAGAATATCGGACGAGGTCTCAATCTGGCTCCGTTTTGTATTTCGGCTCTGTAACATTTTGGACTCCGTCAGACTTCAGGGTCCGCCTGACTTTCAACATTGTCCGCTCATCAATGAATCTCGACTTGGGATTATGTTTGATTTTGGAAAAACCAGTGTTGTTTACATTGCACAACTATTTGACAAGTACATGACATTTTCAGCAAACGATTTTGTTAACAGATACCCACCGTGTGAGCAATGGAAAGCTATTTTTGATTGACGCTTGGCCTCGGCGTAAGATGATGGGACGGGGGGAGAGGGGTGGAATTTATCCCTTTCCCTTCCCCTTGAGCGCTACCATACAGTCTGGCATTCTGGAGGACTAATTTTTCTCTCAACTGCGAGGGTCTGGGAAGATTAATTTCAAACTGAATGTTTATTTCCTACAAATGCAGATTAATCGTTACACTTCGAGGTCCCACTTCTAAAGAATCTGGCAAATTGCAAAAATTAAACTTCTTCCTGTCTACCCCAATGGTTTTCTTGATACTGTTAAAAATTCGCATTCCCTCGAAAACAAATGAGTGAAGTAGGTGATGAGATATCCAAATCTTATTTCACAACATATTTCCAACTGAAAAATACTCTATAGAAAGATTAAGAATGACTCTTGAGGCAAACAGCAAAATTGAACCGGGTGTCTTGGCTAGTTTTTATCAGTTTTAAACTCTAGAGTAAAATTTTGCTTTTACGTTAAAAAAGGTGTTCCTTGTTTTTTTACAGGCACTCATAGAAGTATTATCATACCTTTAGGAAAGACGAGAAAAATCAGGGCTCAATATTTTGCCTTTCGCCGTAGAAACCGAATATTGACAGACTCAAATTTTGCTAAGTTCTCTTACATTCTGATCTGATAGCTTCATTGTGTGTCAATTAAGTTGACACATTACCTAACTGCACGTGATTTGCAAACAAGGTTTTAACTATATTTACCTACAGAGCTAGCATTCTCTACCTTGGTCAAAATTTGTAGCAAGAAAAATCCTTATATGTACTCTTTGTTGCACGATCTCGATATGTATTCATTTTCAACCGTTTTTTCGTTGTGTCCTGACAACTTTGTCGAGCGTTGAAGCTATCACATCAGATCATCTTCCATTGGGATGATAGAAGTCCTTGAACCAACACTTACTAATTGGTGGTCAGAATACGCACCCCTGCATGTTGATATTGATCCTGATTGATTCGTAGCTTACATCTGCGTATCTTGGTTTCTGCCCAGTTGTTGATACTGTTCCCTTACTAGAAATCCAGGGGTTTTTGTTTCGTACCTTAAAAAATCTCTGGGTAAAATAGGCTTTTTCTTAATAGTCATTGAAAATAGAAGGTTTTTCCACAAATTTCTTTGCAATTTCATCGATAGATCTGTGCCCAGATGTTCAAATAGCTCTTTCTTCTAAGAATTAATGCACCAAAGAAGTTGGTATCTCAGTGATACATACTATTCCTAATTCTAATTGAGTCATGATTACTTTGTGGCGTCAAAAAAAGAACTACAACTAGTAACTAGTGAAAGTGAAAATGCCAAAATTACCGAGAAACAAACATACACAATATAAAATTACCTTCCGACTTTTAGGTTACTTTTTGAAATGACTGTAGGGAATTTCTATTTTAAGATGTATTCGACTTCAATATCAAACTATAAGCCGGGGAAATCGTCGGAAATTTTGATCCTGTGAAGTTCAGCATGACTGAATTAACATGCGAATCATCTGTCCTCTGTGGTAAAGGTAAGTCGATTTATCATGTTACAGGATGGTCCAAGAAAACATGAGATATAGATATCTTCGAAAGTGCGTAACATTGAGGAATTTATAGTAGATCGGCAGTGAGAGCCAGCCCGTGTTCACATAGAAAGTCATACAGCTCACCCAATGTTTTTAAGCTGTTTTTCTTGGCCAAGGCATCCAGTGAGTCACTTTTATAACCTAGTTTCCAAGAAGAAGAATCTGGTAAAACAAGATCATCTGAAACAAATGACACAAACATTTCCGTTAATTGTGTCTCACGGAATGACTTGCTCATTATTTAACGCCCGCTAGATAATCCAGTGGTATGAGTGACTTACTTTACCACCTACGAGCAGAGATATACTGACGGACCATTATAATAAAACAAAAATAACATATCTGCAGTATCGTTTCATTTTCTAAATATGGGTCTAAGTTATGCATTCGCCATATGGAGGTGAGTAGGTGTAAAAGAATAGACGCTATTATCTGGGGTGATAACACGGGTTTTTCTCTCAATATTTCTTATGAACATAAGAATACCAAGCTTTGTCAGCTATTTATGGGATGTGAAGTTTTTCTTTGTGTTCCCTAAACAAGTCGTGGGTATTGTTTTCTTGGACAACAATCAAAGAAACGACGCAAAGTATGAGAGTGACAACATGTTACTGTGCAGAGGGGCGCGATCACATGATGCTAGCTGACTCCACAGGTTTGCTGACTTAATAATAGTGATTAAAGAGGAAATTTATTTGATGACCTGACCGATTTCCATTGAATGGCAGGTGGAATTTCACAGCAGGAAGCACTCACGTCTTAATAACCTCGATCAACTAAATCCAGCCTGGATTCGAAAAAGTTGTAACCACCATGAAGGAGGATAGCTGAACATGTAACTAGCCCCTCTACAAATGTATTTACTTGTAGGCGTTCCTATCGGGCGACGTTTCCACAAAACTTTACTTACATGTAATTACATATGATAAAATCTCTCTTCCCCTTTCCGGGATCTCCTCGATGGGCAAGTCATCAGGTAACCGAGGACCTGAAAGAAAATATGACGATTAATCGTCCTACTGATAAATCCTGACTTTGATCCCATGGCTTCACGCAAACGTTGAATCGCATTGAAGGCTTGACCATCCAAGTCAAATGATTTGAAACTATGATTTATGGAATTCATGAGAACCCCCCCATCCATTACTGGTTTTGATTCTTTGATCACGTGCATGCCTCTCGCTCACGTTTTATTCGCTGCGTTGATTTGATCTTTGAACTTCGCTAATTTTCGCAGCTAATACTCCCCTAAAGCCTGTTGTTAAGCGAAACGGAACAAAATTAGATCCACTGTGGTGCGGTTGTTTGGAAATCGTCAACCTCTGCAACGCAACACGGCATACCCATCCTTTTTCTTAACTAGTTGGGCGGGAAGATCAGTAGCGCAGTTTTCGTGCCGCCTGTATTTTTTTGTAAACATTTCGATTGTCCACAACTGGTTCAAAACAGAGGTTGTTTGCTGACTAGAAAACAGTGGAATAAACAATGACTGTCTTGGCCATGTCAGAAGAATAATTTCTCTTCTTTAAAAATTCCTCCCGCAATCGGATATAACGTACATTATTTTTTTTTTCGGTTTATCTTGGCTTTCTTCAAAATACTTCAGTTGCATTCCTGTTCTTACGTTATATTTCATTCAATAGTTCACTAGCCTGTATAACGTAATCTAACGTTGTAACTCGATAACATGCATTTAAATATAAACTCAAATAATAACAGGAGTATTATTTTGCAAATAAACATGACATGAATAATATCGCAACATGCTTTGCAGACTTGACTGTTTTTTTTTTTTTACAAAGCATTGTGGTCCTCATTGTTCAAAAGTCAATTGATAAGTATTAAGAAGTATTTAACAAAATCACGGTAAAATAACAAACCTGTTGTCCCTCTTGGTGTGATCTGCCTTAAGTGATCGAACACGTCCATTCTTTTTAAATTTTTAGCTTTCCTTACTAAGCCACGGACGATTGTTTTCTCCTTAGAGGTTAGTTTTTCGAGATAATCTTCATCTAACTGGAGCAGTTTTTGTATAATAACTTCAGGACTACTTGACGATGTCAAAATAGGTTCTACGATTTAATAAAAGGAACGATATAAAAAAAAGAGAAAAAATAAAAAGTATTTATGGTTACAGGATAATGAATTAAGATACTGACATCAAACTCTCTGATTGTTCATGAAATTGTTCACATCAAGGTTAGGTGGTTTAGTGTTTTTTAAATCAAAAATCGTATTCTAATAAAAGGCTAAGTGATTCTAAGAGGCCAGATGTTTTTAGTGGCCAAATGCAAGTTTAAGTAACTCAATTGCATAAGAGGGATGAATGAGATTTAAAAGAAGCTTTTTTTATGTGCCATTACAGAAAGCTTTCAAGTTATAGAAAATTGCAAGTTTCAGCCTGACCAAATATGAAATAACAATTTGGTCAGAATCACGTTCATCCGCTGGCTAGGTTAGATTGACAGGAGATATGGAAAAAATTCAATTTCAGAGCTTATTGGAAATTGTTCTTGTTGTTGTTCAGGGGACTCTGACTGTTTGGTTTATTTCGGTTGAAATAAATTGAAAAATAGCACAAAAACGCAAGGGATTAAGGCAGCAATCCCAACCGGGCAAGATAGGCCTATCTTGTCCACTCGGGTAGCCAATCAGTCATATGTCCATACGGCCATCCCACATATGTCCAGGGTGCGCCATCCCAAAGAAAAATTATAGCAAAAACTGACGTTTGTTGGACCAGATGGGCTGACGTGAGCCATCCCGCCCCGCACTCAAACTGCTCTTTTGTACTTCTAAAAAGTGTTGTTGATTGACCCGGTTTGATTGGGCCGGACCTACGTCCTTCCTACTCGGTAAATAAGTACATAGTATTTTATAGTATAACCCATAGCCACTCTCATATAAAGATAACGTCCTCGATTTTCCCAATGGTGACTATTTCCGAGTCAACTATTTAGTTTTATGAGACTTACCTGCATTCATCCACTCTTTTTCCATGTCTTTCAAGGTTTCTAAAGCGTTTCTGAATCTCTTCATTTCCTCCCCCATTTTATAAAATGCATTTCCTAAAAAAAATTGAGGATGCAATGGTTCTTAGCCTCAAATTCATACCAAACATAATGGTCAGATGCATCATAGAACCTACTTTACATTATGTGTGAATCTGGTGGTGCTTGATTTAGCGCGTTTAAATATGGTTTTAGGGGTAGCGCTGATTTAACTGGTAACTGATTTCAATATGTTATTGTCAATACACAAACAAAAGCTGTTTTTAAACACTTTACATCGCAGAAAGATAATGTATCAACTTTTCTTCTCGTAACTGTTTTTAAAAGCCAGCAATTTTGATTTCACAACCACTCATGGTCCTTTGCAATGCGAGGTTGGGAAATGAAAAGCGATTAATTTTCCATTGCACAAGAATATCAACCAGTACTGAGCCGTCATCTGGATTGCCTTTTGTTGGTATGGACGCTTCACCTTTGTTCTGTTTTGAAAAGAAACTTTTGCATTATCAGCGATAGTATCAGCTTTGATAGTTAATCAACCAATGTGTTGATTAAATATAATTCGTTGAAAATGAGTAATTGATCGTATGACCTTCGGAAGGATATGTATCCTGAAAGATTCCCAAATTCTCAATGGCAAGTCTGAAGAAATCGTCAACCTGGTCGAGCCTTTCAATTTTGTCTCCTGAGGAATTGTAAGTAGAACAAAACGAATTATAAGTTTGGAACTCGGTAAATAAACAGAGAAAGATGTTATTCGGTCTTGTCACTAGCGTAGGAAAAACAAAAACAAATCTAAGTTTTCAACCTCGTCATGGCTTAACTCACCGTGGTGGATCTGAGCCTGGAGTGCAGTACATGTATATGAGGTTCAATTCCTCATGGAGTAGTACACTTATTTCTTTGCCCCACACTCGGGACAAAAAGGAAAAACAATTTCTCTATAATGTTTGTTATTAATACATTCCTCTATTAATTAACCTGGCTAAATTCAAAAGCATTTATCATGTACCGTTGATAAAGACAAGACTCCAGTTATGTTGTAATTCCGTAGGAGAGGCATCACCTAGGTATATGATAGATCACTGACGAACTAAGGGGGTCTAATTCTATACTGAATTAATGAAAGATTGTTGCCAATATGGAAAAGGCAAAGTTTCCCTTATACATTGCTGCCCATGATAAGCTTTCATGCTCAATCCAGAGGATGCAAAAAGCCTTGCTTTCCTTCACACTTGGTTTGGTGTGAGTAGGAGTTATGCGACATCACAGGTTACGTATGTCGCCATACGTGAGGACTGAAGGATGTTGGAGGAAGTACTCTCAAATCCGGGCTACATTTTTCAAGGCATTCTAGACACCCAACTACCATCAAAGTAAAAGGGCAGTAATGCAATGATTTTATCGTTTTCCTTAGTAACTAACAAAGCAAGGTTTCTAGAACTGGGGTATCAGACAACATTTATGATTACACTACAGATAACTCGGTAAGCCGAGAGGAAGGACACTGAGATTGACAGAACTCAGCGAAAGTGGAGAAAGAACTCTCGGTAGCTCTTACATTTTCTATTAAGCATTATCATTCGGTAAAAACTAACTATCAACTTCACCTTGGTCTAATCGATATTCAGAAGGGGCACTACTCAAGGTCCCTAATCCACTGTCACTCGGTTGCGTGATTTCGCTGAGGGTCTCCTGAAGATTTTCCAAATATTCTTTTACAAGAATATTTCTGGGAGATGGTAAAAACTCTCTCTCTGGAGGAGGATCTTTTGTATTATCTGAGGTCATTTTTCGTTCTTTCAGAAGGTCTGAGTCAGAAGTTGCTCGATCTCTTAATCCTCTCTTTCCTTCAAGTTTCATCCCTAAAAATATGGAAAATAGACACGTATTGATAAATCAAGCAGGTGCGTTCTGACATCAATTTCAAAATAGTGTTGTGATATCAGGCATGAGAATTGGAACCCACAAGGCATGAGAATTGGAACCCACAAAGGAAGTGAAACCCAAGTTATCTACGAAATTACATTTTAGTGCACAACTCAAACTTGCAATTCGATTGACTTTTAATTGGAAACTGTTTTATTGATCCCTTTCAAGTCAACACTAGTACTACTTATTATACAGGACTGTTTTCGCAGAGGACTTTCTGATACCTTTGATATGATCAACTCGAGAGGCCGTCACTACGTAAAGGTAAGGAACAACTTTTTTAACATTTCGATAGATTAAGAACAACAACTCTTTCCCAGCTCGGCCTGTCTGTCGACCAAACAAACACATAAAATAATATTGTGATACAAAGGTATTCTTTAAACCCGCCTTACAGACTAGGCCGAAAAAGAGAAAATGTTCTAAGTCTAAAATTTCAATATCTGCGCATATTTCTTTCTGTAAACACAAAAATCTGGATTTAAAAAATAACTTCTATTTGGGGGTTATGAATAACGTTTGTGCACAAAGAATGCTTATTAAATAATTTGATATAATCAACCCGGCCGTGCACAGTGATGATAGTATTTAGTGCATAATTTCTTGAAGAAGAGACGAATACATGAAGAGAAAACACAAATTCTCTGAAAACTCGTCGGATAACTTCTTCAGCCCCACCTGGCTCGAGAATTTTACCCATCCCTTATCAACACACATATTCGTATCTTCTTGCATTTTCAGTAGCATACGAGGAAAAATATTACATGGATCATAGCCCCCTAGTCTTAATTTGAAAAATCACATCTTCTAGAGACAACAATTTGTCCCATCATTGGAGACAACAAGAGGTGTTATTCATTCACTTTGCACAAGGAGGCACTTTGCACAAGGAGGCACACATAATGGCAGGACTATTAAAGGTTTAATTACCTTCTGTTTCTGATATCAACAAATCCAACATAGCATTCCTATATTCATCCTCGTCGATGTGCACAGTCAACGTCACTTCACCACCTGCCAGTTGCTTTATTTCCTCAGTAACAAGAAACTCTTGTAAATTTGTCCGTAGTGTTTCGTCTTGATAACTTTGCCACAACGCGTCAAGAGCGGAATTATTTTCTGCGTGAATTGTAAATCGGGTGGATCCCTCCCTAATCGCACGTAAACAATTTCCAAATGGAAGAACAGCCTCTGTGAAAGCAGCCACAAATGCTTCCATACTGGGACTCCTGCGAAGGACCATCCATGTAGTAACAACCACAGCACCACCAGTAAGATTGCGGAAAGTACAGTGAGGTGTAACAACTATAAAAAGTTTGCAAAACATGGGGTTTACACTAGCCTGTTCCAGTCTGTCTGGTTGTGGATTCGACTGATGAAGCGGGGCTAGGCAAAGGAACGAACCTTGCCTATGGAGAGTTCTCCTTCCCAGAGCCCTAGCCTAATTCCTACTTTCCTGCTTCCTTGCTTATCTCCAATAACTGACAGCCTGACAAAGACTAGATTTGAGGGAATTGTCATCTTCGAAAGTTATACGTTACTGAGAGAGAAGACAAGGAAGCTTACGAATAAAGGGGACGTAGAAGGGCTATTGCCACTAAGAATTCATTTTCGATCATGGGAAAAAAAACCTAAAATGGTTATTCAAGGACAGCACTTCGGTTTGACAAAAAAAATATAGTTCATACTCAGCAATTTCCAGGTCTATTTGGCAGGGTAGTAGCAAATTCCTCTGTTCTCATCGTTGAATTTAACTTTCTCACAAGGGTGATCATATTGTCCTGAGTTTGCAAATAGCACGCAATGACTCTAGTAGCGTGAGCCTCCTGAAAACACGGCTGTGTCAGCGAGTTTTACCGTTTCTGGTTTTACTGGTTCCAAATAAATTGGCTCTGTCTCTCAGACAGATTAAATAACACTCTCTTACCTCCTACTACTCTTTCTCCAATGTTTATTCCACGAGTAAAAACAGAAGCAGCCTGAGCTGAAATGTTGAATAGTTCGATCATTGAATTAAAAGCTATACAGTAGTTTAATCAGGAAGAGAAATGTTGAACAATGATCTATTAAATACTTCTCTTTGCAGACTTTCTAAGTACCTGGCTTAGATTTACGGTCAACAGGGCAAATCACTGCTAAATTACTGTTTAACCCCTAAGGAAACAATTACATCAAATTTCTCATCGCCCGTGAATTTGGAAATAATCGCAAACTTGATAAGGTCTTTATTTTTAAATAAATTCTCCTTTTCGGTGCTATAGCAAATGTATATAGAAAAGAATGGAGAATATAAATGTTGATGTGAGGGTGTAAAGTGTTACTGATCAGTAGAGGGGTAAAACCTCACTCCTTCCATCTCTTCGCTATCTGTTTCAAGGAATAAAAGGGAAAAAAAAGGTTTTTTTTTTTTAATGAACTCTTTTTAATCTTGTTAATTTTTACATGTCTATCCACAGAGGTTGTAAAAGTTAAATGCTATCTGGACCAAATTTACTCCTTGAATTCTCGCCAGCGTCTCGCCGTTTTTTAGAAAGAACACAGAGGAGGCCTTGGGAACGAAATTAATGTTTATTTTCCCGCCATGTTGTCTAAACATATCTTATAAGCACTCTATCAATTCCTTCATGAAGGTGCTAGATGTACCATCATCGATCAAATCGTAAATAACTAAATAAAGAATGTTCGCTCATCTACGCTGGCTGTGAACTTAAAACTAAGGAACAACCTTTGTAAAATCTCACGAATATCATCAACCAGGGTCACACAACCGGCAGCGTAGCCATTTTATTGTGGATGGGCGTCTAAACTTGTATTCGAACTTGACGACTGGTAAAAGTGACTATTTGCTCGTATTAACAATAGAGTCTAGCATGTCATCTTTGCCAGCTTAATTCCTGATTTCACAGCTCTCCACCATTCTCAGATAATCGGTTGAACTGACTTAAGACTGAGATATGGCACATAATTGAATACTAAGGATTCCATGATTTGACTGATAATGTTCGATGTTAAGACCAAAGATCTGGTCGAGGAACGTTAACTTCAAAATTGTTTCGAAAAGAAGGAATTCAGTTGCAAACTATCTCTTACCTCGCGCCCTTCGTTTGTAGTCCTCCCTCTCTTTCCTTTCCCTCTCGGCATCTTCTTCTCGTTTCCTCTTCTCGTCGAAGTCATCTACGAGTCTGCTCAAGTCTGGTTTCTCCACTTCAGTTGCTATGGTTTTCAGGATATTGAGGTTTCCTACTCGCAAATTGCTGTGTTGTTCTAGTTCCGTGAACAATGCATCAATATTCACGATGTGTTCTTCTCTTTCATGAGTTATCAGATTGTGTCTTCGGCAGATTGAAATGAGTCGTTCCACTTCAATGGACCCTTCGAGTGCACCACGTATTTGCTCCAGTAACTTTTTGTAGTCATTTCTTTTAATTTCGAATTTCTCCACCATCCGAATAAGACCCCACTTTTCTATCCCTTTTAAAAGATCCTTCAATACATCGAGACAATCAATTCCTAAGACATTCTTCTCCTCCAGCTTGGTAAGCAACGAACTAACGTCTATGATATCGTCTTCCGAGCCATCAGGAATAAAACGTTTGTAAACAAGTTTCAACAATTCACCTTCAGTTTGCCAATCGATTTCCTTGCTACACTGATGCCAAATTATGAGGTATTCGACCAGTGACATGCTGTTGGTAGGGGGGAACGAAATTACTTCGGCTAAAATCAGTTATCCCTCAGAATCAGGACGAACTTCGCTCCTTTACATCGCAGAGCCGAATTCGGTTGATGCTTCTAAGTTTCGGCTTGGTGGTTATGTTAATTGAACGATAGCGGAACAAATCTCTGATGCGTTAAACCAAAACTTGTTGCTGGAGTCCAAGGGTCGAGCTGATTCTTTGCAGGTCCAGAAAATTTGTCGGCTTTGAAATTTTTTTTCCATCATTTGTCATATTTTCACATTGCAAATCCGGTGATTTTCCATTCCATAAACTGCGGTCGACTTCGTCTTTGTGACTTTTTTTTTCCAGAATTGTTTCTTTATTTTAGAAAATTTACGAAAACGAGCATCGGTAGCCGTAAAATGGCGGAAATCAGTGTCACAAGAAGAGACAAATGAACTTTGACCATGAAAAGTGTAAAAGGAAGCATACTGGTATTAATTTGATACATTTATGCCGGAGACACTGAGGTCTGGTTGAAGCCTAAAACAGAACCATTTCATTTCATTTCATTAAGAGCTCACAACATTTTTGACTAATATCTTCCTAATATCTTCTCAAGATGTCACCAGGTATGTCTGCTTGCTTCAACGATTTTTCTTTAATGTGTCTATCTCTTGTCGTAAGCCGCAGAGAAAATTAAAAAGAAAGTTACTTTCAACTCGAGGTTATTTTTTAGTTCCTCTTTCCAATTTGCGCGTTTTATGGTCCTCTGACTGGAATTATACGGCCACTTTTTCCAATTTTTTTTTTATTTAATTCGAGAACCTTTGCTGTAACTGCACATAATTTCGGTGTATTTTTAAACCAACTGTCCATAATCTTGGCAACTCTAGCTAATCTTGGCAACTCTAGCTACTGAAACACGAAATTTGTTAAGGATCTGTTTCTTTCCCTGTGAAATTTCGATTTAGAGCCAGAACAGAGACCGACTAAAACTAGAATAACATATCTCAAACTATATGATGATAGGTAGACTTAGGATTCGACAATGAAGATATTCCTAGAAACCTACATGTGTAGACTGAATTTCATTACAGAAACTAATTCCAAACATCAATCAACTTTTATCTTTAGTTTTAAAAGTTACCAATGTAGTTGAGGTTCGGTTATTGAAATAACTAAATAAATGAGTTAACTGGAATTGGGGTTTCGGCAACATTTTAACATGAAACTCCATTTATTTTATTGATCTGAAAAAAGTAAGTATTGGACCATCTACTAAGGTTTTCACCGGTTTACTATAATAACGAAATTTCATCATCAAGGTTTTACTTTGAATCCACAGTTTTTTCTTTCATTTTTCCACGAATACTGTAACAAGCTGCCAATCAGAAGGCCTACTCATGAGTTGTAGTGTAGCAAGTATCCTAGTGATATTCTTCATGGACAAACTCGAAAATATCGCTCTCTCCTCGAAGCGATTCATCAAACCCTACAAACGATACGAGGACGACATCTATCTAAATACAACTCGTGAAAACACAGCCGACAAACTCCACCAGACGATGAATGATCTGCACCCAAAAATAAAATTCGAGACCGAAAAGCTAACAACCTCTAAAGATGATCTATCACTGTAAACAGTTGCTATCTCTGACAATGGCAAGAGCTCATTTGAATTCTATAAGAAACCCGCCAAAAAAAAATATTTGTCCATCACGCCTCAGCGCTAACCAGGAACTCCAAAATCAACTTTATCCGCAATGAACGACAACGCATACAACAGAGGTGTTCAACACAGATGACATCGCGGAAGCACGACCACGCCTTCGGCAACATCTTACGCACAACGGCTATCCTGAAAACGTTATACTCGAAACCAAACGACCCCGCAGACACCGTCATTAACCACAATAACAACAACACTCCAATAAAGATTGGCTGTACTTCAAAATCCGTTTTTTTTTTCCACGGATCAGACAGAAAGATCACTAAAATCTTCATATTTTTATATCTTTATTTATTTTGCACTATTTGCAAATAATTATTTCTACATTTAAGTACATTAAAAAGGAGAGACATAGGTTAACTAAATTACACAAGTAGTGGAAAGCAAAATGAGCGCAGTGACCAATGAAAGTAGCTTAAGTTTTCGAGTTGGCCACTGCCACAGACAATTAATTGGCATGAACATGTACATTATAGGCATTTACATAACAGTAAAAAAATTAAACAAAAGCAAACTACATTCAGGAACAGATTGAGTATTAAAAATATTCATTTTGTATTGCTTCTAGAAACAATTACAAGAAAGCTTTTTTTTTTAATTCAAAGGGGATAGATTCCCAGATTTTTGAAGCTACAGAAGCAAACGTAGTTGTACCATAGTCATTTCTTGCTCTTGGTCTGTTAATATTAAAATTTGTCGCAAATCTGGTATTGTGGGTATGAACCTCAGACGCTAGTGTAAGAGTTCCAGAAAAAATTGCTGGGATGTTTGTGGGGTCATTTTTAATTTTGTTTATAAAGAGAGCTAATTTAAATTTATAAGTGTTTTGGAGTGTGAGGATTTGCAAAAGGTTGGAATAGGGCATAGCATTATCTCTGCTAGGAATAAAGAATATGCTGCGTACACATTTATTCTGTTTTGTTTTGACCTTCTGTAACCTAGTTTTACTGGCACTACCCCAGCTTATAATACCATAAGTTACACATGGATAAATGAAGGAATAATACAACTGTTTTAGAGTGTGAACCCATAAAGCTTACACTATATCCACCAAGCCTATATACGCCTGTATCCATCAAGAGAGACAAACCGGAATGTAAACGCACCATCTCCCCTAAAAGAGGAAATGTCCATTAATTTCAGTCCTATTTGTAGGAGGATCCTTGCTTCTCCAGATCCTCAACCTTTAAAAGTAAAATATCTTGAGACCAATTCCTTATAACAATGTTTAGTCTGGGTGAACACCATGCACCATTTAAATCTTGAGACTGAGTATTCAATGCCATCCAAATAACATTACATGTTACAATGTGGTGACTGCAACAGAATTATGTAATTACACAATTCTAAACAAAGTCAGGTCAGAGACTTGTCTGCGAAACATTTTGAGGGCTCAAGGTACAAAGAAAGGTTCTTCCAGTTGACATAGCCTTTTCTACTAATATTGTTACTCTGTAATTAAGAGAATATGAAAACGCAAATTACTGGAAAACAATGTTTTCAATGTCCACTCAATCAGCATATTTTCCAGCTCAAAACCACTGCTGACGCCGGCTTCTTATCAGCTAACCCACGTGAAGCCCCCGTGTTATGCTTAGCTTTGAACCCGTGGTACACTGCACCCGACACCGCATTCGAATATGGGCAATTCATTTGGCTGCTCAAATGTTTACTGGCGTAAGCGCAACTGATTTCTTAGTAACACACATAAGCACACATGCGCATTATCCTCTCCTTTCCCCTTAAGCGTTTCCCTCTGCATTATTAATGCCAAGTTTTGAGCCCACAATTCAACTGTGCTTACTGGCGTTCGTGCGGTCACGTGAAAACCAAATTTTGCTGCTTGATGGGTTACCAATTTTTATAATAATACTGCTTTGCTGGGGCGCTGCAAGCTCCGCCATTAAACTTCATTTCATAGAAAGGGGAGGCGAATAGGTCTAGGACCGACAAAACTTGCAAAGCGGTCAATTTACGGGCTTTTGAGCGGGCTCTCTAAGCCACGCGGGCCGCTCAAACCCTTTACTTGCGAAATGCGGTGTAGCAACTAACTCCTGCTGATGCTTTTTGTCCAACGGTTTCAGCATTTTTATCGGACTGCATACTATGAATATGCTCTTTTCTTTTACCTGTAAGTTGATTTTGCCTTGGCGAGGCCCGTTTGAGGATGCGATGAACTTCGAAAAACGAATTCGAACTTAGGTTGGAAATGTCTTCGGAAAGTGTAATAATAGCCTTTAAAAAAAAATGGCGCAAATGAAACACCTCCACGAATTTTGCTTGAGGTCACTTTAGATAAAAAGTTCGTCGAAGAAAGCGATTTTAATTTGTCAAACATTTCATCTACCACGCCTAGTTATTTAGGTGGGGGGAAGATTCATTTGCCACCATTCTGCCTGCATTTTTTAAGGAAAGTTTCCGCCACACTGTTGACAAGTGTACCACGTTTTTGATCTAGTAAATGCGTGTACATGAAGATTTTGGAGCAACGCGACTCGCAAAATTTAAGCTTTTACTAACCGTAAGTGCAACTTGTGGTTAAACGACTTATATAGTCATCGGAAAAATGTATTTATTCGCCAGCAAAGTGTTTCACTATCATCATTTCAAACGCGGCACTCTGTTTCTGCATAAAGAACGACAAAGAAAATCCTTGAAAAGTATTTGTTTAATTTTGCGAATGTCACAGTGCAAAGGGCCGCCAAAAAACCACGCTGCAGAGATCAGCCGAGCCGAGATCGATAAATTTATTGATAAAAGTATTGATCTGCTTTAGCTACAAGCAAAATTTTCAGTCCAAATAAACCTTTGGAAACGGGAGCAGAGATTAATTTATTATCTGAGGGAACTCCCTATGGGAGCCAGTAAACTTTGTTTGTTTTGGTATAATTAAAAATCAACCAACACTAAGCTTATCTTGAAAATTAAAATAAGTTGAAACAGCTCCTAAAGTTATTCATCCTGAAAAACCAATTATCGATAAGATAAAGGCTGATAGTTTCTAAAGAAACTGTTTGGTGCTGCGTCGGTGGGGGTAACGAAACAATTTGAATATATCAACAAAGTTGAAATGATAAATTGGCCACCGTTACGGTTATAAAAGCTGACGTTTCGAGCGTTAGCCCTTCGTCGGAGCGAATAGAGGAATTGTGGGTTGTGTGTGCTTTTAAAGGCAGAAAATGGAGCTACGTGATTGGTGAGAACATGGCAACGAGAAAAACACGAATAAACTAGTGGAATGAAAAGCGTTCGTTGATACCTGTGGGATTTAGACTGCTGGTTTGAAAGATGAGCCTTTGTTCAAGAGTTTTGCGGCTTTCCGTGCTACCTAAGTGTAAGGAAAGACCGCAGATTGCCATATGTTGCTTAGAATGATTAGGTAAATTAAAATGTCTAGCGACTGGTTTCGATGTGTCCTTGTCATTCCTCTCCACGTCGCGAAGGTGTTCTCGGAATCGGTCACCTAGTCTTCTGCCTGTTTCGCCGATGTATATCTTTTTGCAATAGGTGCAAGTTATGCAATAGATTAATTTGAATATATCAACAAAGTTGAAATGGTAAATTGGCCACCGTTACG